AGTAATTTACGACGTATTTTAGGATTTTGTAGGACAGTTAGGACAGGATTAGTACAGAAAATTCGACACCCGAGTAGCCTCAGCGCCCTGCTTCTAAGTTTGCTGGACATCCTTTCACGGTGATTCAGTTGTTATTCTGCCACTTCGTTGTGTGTTACCATCTCTATTTTTAGCAGCAAAATTGCTCTTTTTGGTGTATTTATTTTGTATTTCTTAATATGAAAGCTAAAATATTTAAGTACCTTCATAATAGTAAACATTGTGTTAGAATGCTTTTGTTATAACAAACCCCATCTTATATAAACATACTAATTTAAGTAATATGAGGATCGGATAAGTTTCTTTAAATGTATGATATAGCTCGTCTTAATCATCCATTTGAAAGGGGTCCGTTTTTCTCCCTAGAGTAGAGCTTCAATACAAGCACCCCCCAGCCGACCTGAGCGTACGACTGGGCATGCTCAGCTCAAACTTACCATCAGCAGTTATAAAAACCCGTGGAATTGAAGCATTTTGTGCTCAATAATCATAACTGAAATCATCATTGCATTATAAATTACAAACAAAAAGGGCTCATTCCGTAGTGGGGGATAACATGGAGAACTAAGCGTCTTTCAATAGTATCAATAGTAAGACTAAGAAAGCGTTATTAGTTTTAGCTAAACTGGTAGCCCTCTTCAACACGTACGGTATTGTACCTTTCTGCCAAAACGCCCTCAGTTTTATGGTCCTACGTAGGAGGATGGCCCTCACGGAAGACCTCATATCTGATCGGCCCGATTTTAGTCGGATGCACCCGATGACCGACTAAAATTTAGCCTAGCCCTTTGACGAAAAAAATACGATGCCAATCAAAGACATATTAGACCCGGCAAATACTGGCCATTCAGCCCTTAATTTGTTAAAAGGTACCGATTAGACCAAATCAGAGCCCTTACGTAGGGCCTCCACAATCAAGTATTATTGGATCATAGTCGACAAAATCAAACAGTGCTATTAATCAAATATTATTTTATTTAGTGGCCTGGCTTAGCAATTCAACTCCGGGATCGGGAAAATAACGTAAGCAGCTATCATGCACAGAGAAGAACCGCGACGCAGGTACAAAAGACCACAAGTTGACGAAAGGAGAACACGATGCCGTCAATGTAGTGACCGACTGGACTCGTAGTTGAGTAGCTTATCACAAACGTCAGCATTGCCGCTCGTATCCACTGGCCGTAGTTCGCACTCCATCCGTCGCTTGGGTCTCGCAGCGGCATGGATTCTTGTATAAAGATTATAACATTGCCATGGTAGTGGGGTGCCGATACATACGAGAAGAACTCGCCACAGTGGAGTGTTCCTTGTGTACGTTTCCAGAGCGAGTAATCGCTGAATTGAATACCTCCCACCATAGCAGCTGACCTGCCAGCTCCGCCAAGTACGCAGCAGCTTTGTAGTCATTCACGTTTGATCCCAAAATACATACTGAAAGCAGCTAAAGTTGCAAAAATAATTAACGACATAAGCACCATTTTTTATTTTTGTAATTAACAATGACGGACCGCTGTTGACTTCAAATCCGTTAGATTGAGCGTTGTAGACCATTCCACTGCGGTGATGTTGTTTCTCAGTTTGGATTTAGCCGTACCACGAACCTAGTAGAGGCTACAGCGCCGCGATGCAAAAGCTGACGGAAGCCCAAGATTTCCTCTCTGTCAGCATATCGGATCTTAACTTTCTTAGTAGCTCGATCCTCAGCACCAAAAAGGCGTTGGACGAGCTCCAGGGAAGTCTCAGACGCGAAGAGCAAACCCGCTTGGCAGCAGATGCTCGAGAAATCGCCCTACTACAAGAAGTTGCTCGTCTAAGAGTGCTTCTCCAAGAAGAGCGGGAGTACAGCAGTCGACGCGAACGGGTGCTGGCTGATGTGTTGCGACGCCTACAACAAGATGAACAAGCTCAATCCCATAAGCTACCATAGCTAAGACAACTTCAACTTCACGCCTACAAAATCTAAATCATTTCGCTCCATATTGAACCAAAGTCCAAACCAAATATGCTTCAGTCATTTCGATATAATTTACGTAACATTCCACAAATCTCATCTTTGGTTAGTTGCCACTCAAGAGATGGCGAAGATGCCTCAAGTTTGCGCGGCACTGGCGCTGGCCACAGCGATGCTGGCGAGCTCGACGATGGCGGAGAAGAAAGCCGACGACGAGCTTGTCCTGGGGCTATTCACTCCTCGTTGCTTCGAGGCGTTTGTCACCCACCACGACTTTGGCCACGTAGAGTGTATCAAGGCAGTGATCAGCAAGGGTCTGAGCTACGCGATCATCACAGGCAGCCTTATCCTCAAGCTGCCACAGATCCTCAAGATCTTGAGCGCCAAGGACGTCACGGGCCTCACGCCCAGCGCCTTTTACATGGAAGTGGTGCTTTACCTGTCTAGTACCATCTACAACGTGCTGCGTGGCTACCCTCTGTCGACATGGGGCGAGAATGTGGTGATCCTAGCGCAGAACATCATCCTGGTGCTGCTGCTCTGGTCGTTCTACACGCCCAAAATCGCTGTGTCCCCGCGATTCGGTCTCGTATTGGCATTCGCGGCCATTGCGGCTGGTATGTTCTCCATTCCCGACGAGTATCAGTGGCTACTGGCGTCCGCGGGAATTCCCGTGAGCATTGTGGCTAGAATCCCGCAGGTAAGTCATATATCCCACTCGTAGTGGAAATCCAGGAAAACTAATACTTTTCTGGTGCTTTAGATCTTGTCGAACTTCAAACAGGGCCACACGGGGCAGTTGGCGTTGATCACGTTGGTGCTTAACTTTGCCGGCTCCATCGCTCGCTTGTTCACGACGATGCAGGAGACTGGCGACCCGGTGCAAGTCGCTGGCTTCGGTGTGGCCATCCTGCTTAATGGTACACTGGTACTGCAGGTGTTGCTGTTCTGGGGCGCTACCAACAAGGCTTTGGCCCAGGCGACCAAGAAGAAAGACCAGTGACAAGTCTACATAGAGGAGAATTCGATGGCTCAGGCCGCGGCTTGGGCGGCTGTGGGCGTGGTATTCTGTAACACACCGTGCTGCTGACTATCCTTCTCTTCGACGTCTTCATCCTGCACACTTTCATTTTCTTCTTCTTCTTCTTCTTCTTCTTGTTCCCGCTTTAACCTATTGATTTTTTGCTCTTGTGAGCTGATTCTTTTCTTCGGTTTTGATTGGTTAAAAATCGACGGGAAGTTCAGAGTGTTGATGAAAGTGATGGTCTTGGGCGCTCCCAGTTTGCTGTAATACCGCACCATACTGCCAGTAAACGGAGCCTTAGGCGCGACACTCTCGGCCTTCTTCTCCTCTTCCAGCTGCTCCAAGCGCTGCAGCGACTGCGTGTTCTCCACTTCGGTCCTCACAGCTTCAGCGATCAGCTGCGCCTGTGTCAATCGATTGCCCGTTTTCTCCACTATTGGTTTCTTGCTCTTTGCCGCTAACTTGGCCGCTTCATGTGACGCTCGGCGTCTCATTTCCGAAGATTCGGACGATTTCCTGGCCGTCGACGACCGAACGGTTGGCGCTACATACTCAAAGACAAGCGGCGTGGGTGCAGTAGACGTTACGGGGGTCTTTTGTGTTGTCGCTGTAGCCACCCGCTTCGCTTGACGAGGCTGAAGAGGCTCTTTGTATCGACCTGAACTGGTCGCCGAGCGCTTGCGCTTCGTGGGCTTCTCGTCCTCCTCAGCGTCGTGTATCTCTTCATCTGGCGCTTCGTCGGCGTCAAAATCCGAATCCACAACATCCTCCTCCTCTGTGTAAGCGCTCAATGTGTTAGTGATGACAAGCTGTCAATAGTCCGAGCCGTTGCAACAAGATAAATACCTGCTTCGGTGGAGTAGTCGTCGTCTTCGCCTTCTTCTTGCCACGCTGCTTGCCCCCAGAACGATGCGTCTGCTTCAGCCTCCTCCCCGATGAGTTTGTGGATGCGAGCTCCGCGAGAGCTGCGCGCTGGCAGCACCTTGCGCGGCTCAGCGTCGCTCTCAGGACTCGGACTGCGGCGACGAGAGTGGCGTGGCATTGCGAGCTAATATTGTGAGAATTAATCTCTTTTAGAACAGACTTTCCAAAACGTTTTAGCTCAGCTAAAAATGAACTAAATTCGACTTTAAAAAAATCGATGAGTGTTTGACTAAAGCAACACTTTATTTAGTTTCTTGTTCGTTGAGTATCGATATGTACGATTGCAAGCAGAGGGAAAGTATTATGCTACCCTATTAGGCAAAATAATTAAAAAAAAGTCACTATTAATAAGAAGTCCTTTATTTATTAAATTTAAACATTATGATATGGATAGTTGGCTAGCAACTTCTAAAAGAGTAGATGATCTACTGGGAACAATGTTCGACCCGCTGGGTTACCCGTCATATGACAGAATATTGTCAACATCAGGAATAACATGTTGTACTCTGAACGGATGGTGTTTTTTTCGGTGGGCAGGATCTACAGGAATAACACAGTCTCTCCCGTGGAATAAAGTCACCCGTTGGGAAAGTGGCTCATTTGCCGATTTACTAACTCTTTTCCAAGCCCACATACAAGACCAAGTCTAACTCGCATCAAGTGCTTCAGATACAACACTTTAAAGACCTTGGCGGGGAGTTCGCTTAGCAATGCTCCAATTACCCTGTCCGGCCGTGGGGCAGGTCGTACTGCTCCAGGTGCTGCGCTGGGTGTTCGCCCTGTAAGGCGCCGACCGTACGGGAACTTGCTCACATAATTGGCCGACCGAAACTGTGGTTCTGCGCCAGAACGTCCAATGAGAAGTGTCGGTTCCTACTAGTATTTACGTAACGCTAGCCTCGCTCTACTACGCACTTCCACTCAACCCTCCATGTATTATTCCAAGTACTAGCCTGACACGTCTCTGCGCTACTTCGTCGCCCGCGCGTCTCCGCACCAAACGCTAGTCGACTCCTCATACAGACTCCAGGCATCTCTCAGCTCCGCGCTGCGCCACTCAAGTCGTCAACGTTGCCCGTGCAGTTGTTATACACCCCGCTGGCTGTAATTCGCTCGTAAGCCGGTCGGCCTTCGTCTGCGTTCCTGTTTGCTCCTCCTTTCGCTTCGGAAACTCGGGCGGCCTTCGTCTGCCGGTCCTCGTCCCCTCTTTAGTCTTTCAAGTGCGTCTTCCGCCATACAAGGTCAGGTCATGTGCCAATGTCGCAGTTCAAAAAGGGAGCTGCACGGTCATTTGTCTCACACTGCTCCCCTCCTTTGTTCATCGCCGTGCAACTGCCTTGTGGTACTTCAGCATAGTCCACCCCTCGATTCTTCTTCATTCATTATGGCTTTCACGAGCGTGACCATCTAGCCAGCTCACTCACGTCGGTCTCTTTCGGCCTTCGTTTCGGCTTCCATGAGCCTGACCACTAGCCAGCACACTCACGTCAGCCTCTTTCATCCTCCTTCTATGCTCGCGCTGTCGCTCGTGTCCCACTCGTGCTGCTAATCACCACTTCGACCGGCACCGAAGTGGTCCACCGGACTGCACTCACATATAACGTTTCAAGCTGGCTTTCGTGAGCCTGGCCACAAGCCGGCACGCTCACACATCGGCCACCTCCCTCTCGTCCTCCGTGCTCAAGCCATCGTTCGCATCCCACCCGTACTACCAGTCACCACTTTAACTAGCAGCCATGTGGTCCACTTGACCGCTCGATCCGTTATAGTGCTATCAAAGCTCGCATATATGATTTGTTTTTGTGTTCTGACCAGTCGACCGCTACTAATAGATACGCGCTGAGTAGATAGTCGGGGGATAGTCATGTTGTTTTAGAAATACGAGTATAAGCTCAGTGAAGGTTTAAAAATTGGGATGGCCGACTACACAAACGCCTGACAGCCACTCCATCTTTCCCCCATTTTAGAGAATGAACGGTTCTGGAGAAAAGTCGCTCCATCAATGGTGGCGTGGCCTGTCCAAGGAAGGATGAAAGGCTCGTGAGCCTACAGGTATGGCGAAAGCCCACCGCTACGTAAAACCAGGGATCGAGGGCTGCTTTGATGTATCGCGACGCGGCTGGACTTCTTTGAAGGTGAGCGGAAATGATTGTAGCGGATAAATTTCCTTACACTAATGTCCGCTTTGAATCCAGGCGAGAAGGTTCTTATGGTGTTTAGCTGCCCCATTGGTCTGGTCGATCACCTACCTCCCAAGTGATTCCGTGGGTTCTGCCGTCTGATGACCCATTGGCAAGCAAGCCGCATATGCAGCCATCGTTCATGACCCCCCCCCCTGACACTAAAGACTTCGCTGATTTGGACGTGTTCGTCAGCGATACTTCATGGAGGGTCTCCATAAGTAGACACTGTTTGGTCCGACAGCTGATGACGATGTGAGCTTGATGGATAGCGCTGACTTCAGCGCTTCAAATTCAGATGCAGACGATGAAGGGAATATTGAAAGACAATAATTCGGCTCGTCCTTTGTAAAAGGTGTCGACGATGTTGAAGATGTCCCAATGACTGAAGACGTCCCTGAAGCTAAATGTTTTGTGCTCACGGAAGATGCCCTTCGTGAAATCACAGGAAATGGATGGGTTACGTTTGGTGAAGACCACAGCGGTAAGTCCCGATGGTACATAATATCCTAAAATGCATTTCAACAAATTCGGTATATGACACCCTTGCAACAATCGGGAGGGGGGGGGGGGTTAAGTTGATGCAGCTCCGGACTATTACGACGGGGAATATGGACCAAGACGCTCTGCAGTTGCGTACGCAGATTCCCCATTGGAGACGTTCTTTTACTTTTTGCCAAAGAAGCTGTGGAGTCATATCGCAAGAGACCAACAGATACATAACCCAGAATATCACCGCCATTGCCATGTCACGTCGGAACAAGTTGCTGGCCCGGTAGGTTAAGGACCCTCGCACCAGTGTTCCGATTTGGCGGATATTGAAGAAGGACTGAAGAGGGTCAAGAATATCCAGCCCATGAGATTGTGCACGTCGTGGCGTTACGCTTTGCTCGAGTGATAGCGCCGATTCGAGATGGACTTGTCAAACACTGGTCTACCGATGAAAAATGGTGCTGTACCCACGCGGGGCGCTCTCGCGCTTCATGAGCGCCCCGCGTGGGTACAGCACCATCTTCATCGGTAGTGGAAAGTTTAACAGCTACTGCAAGCTGTTGGAAACGTTTCGCTGTGTATATCGCCTCGGGAAAGTAATCGCTTTCGACGAGGGCATGATGGCTAATTGAAGTAAATACAACCCGATGCGCGTCTTCATGCCATCCAAGCCCAGAAAGTACGGCACCAATTTCTACATGCGTGCTGTGCTAACACCGCATACTTCTCAAGGTAAGATCTATGTTTCTGAGCATCTTATTCCAGAGGATACAGATTAAAGTAGTGTGTACTTATGGTATTCTGTATACGACCTAACTTTGAGTGGAAATCTACTGTGGAGCAGACAAATCAAAGCAGAAGAAGAGAAACGCACCACAGGCACACTGAGACGTCACCCAAAAGCTGTTGAGAGAAATATTTCAAAGGTGTTAATGAACCAGCCGAAGGAGCGACTGATTATTACCGACAGCTGTTACCCGACCGCATCGCTTAGTCTGAAACTTAGTCTGCAGGATACAGCAAAGTTAATTGGCCCTTCTAGAAGGGTTAAAGCGAGCCTTCAACTTCCGAAACACGCACTCACCAAAGATTCACGTGGATGAAATATGGTAATTAAAGCTACAAACACAATAATTTCAGAACGTGTAAGTCAACTACTTGCTACCCCAGAGCTCACTAGAAAGCTTACCAACGCCTTTTCATAGCTAAGCAGTGCCCACCGCGCTCATAGAACAACATCATAAAACGGCCAGAGTTTGAAGCCAGAATCAGCAATCTGGTTTTGGACATCGCTTTCAAAGGTGAGACCCCAGCACTTAGACTGGATTTACATGGACTGGTCCGAGTTGCTCGGGGAAGTCTCCACCTCTTGATGCAAACCCGTCGACCAGAGAGCTCTACTCATTATACGCTGTCGGAGAAGGAAAGCGCACACCATCTTTCATCATTTCGTACAGCAAGTATTCGATTTTCAACACGAGACATTCCAAGCTGGGCTGCAGCACCTCCAGTCCCATCACCATCTTGTCTGGATCCATTTCTGTAGTAGGCGAGTATGGCAGCTAGCCCGTGATCGAATGAATATTGTTGGTTTGTTCCATGTAAACCGCATTTCCGAAAAAATAGAGGCTCCAACACCGCACAAAGAGTATCAAACGACTCCGGGCTGCAGCAAGTGGTGTTGCGATATGCTTTTCGTGACCGTTGAGCCTTCGGGATAGCGAGTCAATCTGACTGAGTAGTGATCTTCTCGGTTGGTGGACGCCGAAGTGATGGCCATAGTGCTGGCTGATTACGGCTGTCATCAGAATGACCAGCATGAACCGCATAATTATCTCCTCTTCCGTGAGACCAGTGCTCATCAGAATGGCGAAGCTTCCGCCCTGCGCGCGTGCAGCTACCACCACAATGCCCATGCTCATCACTTCGCGTGACGAGTCATCAGAGTCGGCTACGTTTATGTTTTCGCAGAGTGAAGGAGTATAATCGGTCCAGGGCGGCCCGTACCCTTATCTCTCATGTCTTGTGAGGTCCTTTAAAGGCATCATCAGCGTTTCAGTACATCGATATCCCCAGAGACGCTGGCTCAATATGCCAGGGCCCCAGCGATCCAAGTGGCCACGTACCTCCCTCCGCATTATCTTGATCCAACTGTTCCATGCGCCAAAGAAGGCGGCTTAGAAGCTGCGCGCTCGCGGCCTCCTGTCTCCGGCCACGATTCGCGGCTTTAGCACGACGGCCCCGATCCGCTAGTTGACCGTGCGAGTAGCGAGCGCTATATCATAGAGGAGATCCTCCAACACGTCAGCGATCGCGTTCCTCCACACCGAAGTCATGACGCTTATCACCGTGACGTTGACGCTGCTCCACACCGCCAATACCTGGCGCGTTGACTCGGGCCAATGACGAATAGTTGAAATCCACGCGCGGTTATTCTTGACGACAT